ATACTGATCTATACATTTCAAATCTAAATTTCACCGTGCAATGCCGGGTAACTCAGCTAGTTTATGATAAAATAAAATGTTATACACATTTTTTTAATTATTTTCCATTTCAAGGGCTTAATAGAAAGCTCATTACCATCACACCTTTTATTCTCATTTTAATGCTGCAAACCATTAGCATCTTGAAAGAATTTTAAATAATTTAAGGATCACTTCATATTTTGAAATTAGGTATAACTAAAAATATTTTAACTTTACAACAAAGACATCATATTCAATATATTCAAATTATGGACAATGTCTTCATCTTCTAAGTGTTTATAAATTGATCTTAATCCAACATGTTACTTTTTCAGTTTAAGATAATTTAAAACATAGCCATCTTCTAAGTACTTTTCAATTCCTCTGTCACTTAAAACATGCTATTACTTTTTTTTTTAAACTCAGAACTGATTGTCATCTTTTAACTTTACCATCAATTTTGATAAATATTAAAATATTGCTATTCCAAAAACACCATTCTATGTACTATATCAATTCTGTTACACTCTACAATCAACTTTCCAATGACCCATTTTTCATAATGTATCTGTTCAGTTTTAACATAATCATATTATATTTTTGTGTTAATAAAAGCATAATGTATTTCAATGTTTGCCATATTTTTTTCCAAAAGATTTTTAACGTAATGTTTAAACAGCAGCCTCCATCAACCAACCTGGTTATGACTGCTGAGGTCCTGTCTTGACAAACAGCTACAACCAATACTCTGACTGCTCATCCCAGCCCTTTGGCTGGTTTTACCCAGACCCTCTCGTTGTTTCCCTCGGGTTCTTTGGATATATCCAGGTTGGACCCATGGTCTGCGAGTTCCTTTTGTGTTTCCTGTTTTCACCAGGGTGGAAGGTCTAGCTAAAGCATCATCTGCAAAAATAAAGGATACCTACATAAAGGACCATCTAAATTGAAAACTATGTAAAACAGCACCTGCATCTAAGAAAATAGTGATAACCTTAATGATCTAATTTTCCCGAAAGTAGGTCAAAGACCACCCAGAGGGTGTTTTAACCAATTGCACCACTATACAGTAATGTGCTGTCTGTCAGTCAGTCAGTAGACACTAAAGTGACATCACATAAGGGATGCTTAACGTTGCAATTTGTACTGTCATGACATTCATAAACTGTGTGCATACCATGAATCATGAAAAGAATTATACACTCTGTAGGCTACAAGACAGCATGACATATGAACTTGAAAAGCAAAAAATAAAAATTTGTTACTCTTAATTTTGGTTTTATTCACTCTTGAAACAGAACATGCTTGGGAACCTTAGAGAAATGCATCTAGTATATGCAGGAAAACCCAACGACCTAAAAAAAAAAAGAACCATCTCTAGAAACATTTACAACTTCAATAAGCATAATTTGTGAAACACAAGTTACTATCTAACAGAATACTAGTATAGAAGCACAACTATTGAAAAAAGTCACAAGAAAAACGATAAAGACAACTACATCAGTGAACTATAGAAATCTTAACAAGGATGAGGATGAAGGTATTAACTAGCAAAGTGTTTCTCAATCTTTTATACTTCAAGATCCATTTAGTTATTTGACACAGTAATAAAGGCAGTTGATTAATTGTTTGTTTAGGGTAATCACAGTTGTCTCATGTTGAGAATAGGGAACACAAATATAAATTCTGGCAGTGTAGGAGTCATCTTTAGCTAAGAAAGCATTATTTACCTAACAGGGTGGTTGGGTTTTGGAACATGTTGACTTCAGATGTGGTTAATATAAGGGAGTTTAAGGGAAAGCTTGATAAATATTTGAATGATAAGGGCTGGCTTTGGGTTTTTTAGTGATTAATTTAGTGGAAAAGATGGACCCAAATGTCCTTTGTTGTCCATTAATGCACTATGTTATCACTGAGTTACAGCATTATCTGTGAAAACACTGGCAGTATTAACATGTATGTCATATTTTCATGTACTGCACTTGATTACCAGTATATCACATATTTAGGATCTATACAACTTGTCTTTGATTATTGTGAAAGAGTAAATTGAAATTTGGCAAAAACTAGCAATTTGTTTTTCACAACTTATTCCAGTTGTTTCAAACATTCATAAGAGTTAGAGTTTTTCATTCAAATGAATTGTCTTACTACTTCTAATTACTTTAAGCATAGAGTAATGATTGAAATGCAAAAAGAAAAAATTAAATAAAACAGGAAATTGATAAAAAGTCATTTTACATTTCTGACATCATAACCATTAAGTATTCTGAAATGAGGTAAGCTTTAACAAACACCAATGCTTTTTAATTAGTTTAATTTCTAGTTTTGTAGTGAGTTTACAAAATGTCCATTCCCTCTAGATGAGCAAAATAAAAAAAATATTTGAACAGTAGAGATGTTAAGTATATGTGGGTCTGAGAGTATGCAGGAACACACACACACACACACACACACACACACTCAATAAAGCATAACACATGGAAACATAACAAACAGGTAAATCATTGTTTGTGATATATGTACATACTAGCAAAGCTTATTGAAACAATAAAACAGTACTTTTTCCTAAAAATAATGATGAATATACATAAAATGTACAGTCACCCCAATCCCTTGGATCAGGGTGTACACTGAGTGGTCACAAGTAAATAGACACCGCCTTTTCAGAAAAAATGGAAATTTCAGTCATATTCACATGAATTGATATATTTATAATTT